TCATCTCAAAAGACACTGGGAAAGGATTTGATTGTCCAAACAGAATTCTGTGGAACCATGTTAAACAAATGTATCCTGCCCTTTGTGCTGTTTTTAGGTAACTAACCAACACCCCAGTCGTCTTCATGTTTAATTCCTTATGAGAATTCAATGTATTTTGTTTAGTAACCAGAAGTTAGTCTTCCGCTTAAGTCTTATCCCTTTAAAATTCTGCATCTGAATTCATTCAATGACACTTGAAAAACAAGTTACAGCTTTTAAACACAGCTGAGAATTGCCAGTACAACAATCAGCAGAGTACCCTATATATCACACAATTTAGCACAGCTGTCTCTCATATCCATTATTTACATACTGGATTCACTAGCCTGCCAGAAATTCCTTTAAACAAACCACCTGATTATTGGAAATTGTAAATGCACTGATGTGGAATAAGGCTTTGCTATATCTTGCCTTGCTTAGTTAAAAATATCATGCAATATAACTGAATAATGTAATTGAACTATAGAATTTGAGTTTATATTTAGATTTGAACTCCAAATTTCCTCATGATTTGGTGAGCCATCTCATGTGTTTTTAGTTTACTTCATCCATGATTAGTCTGCATCGTTTCAGTGAACTATCAGATGAAATGTGATTGCTTGTGTCTCCTTGGTGGAGTAAAAATATTACACTGAGTCTCAGGCCATTCATCTGAAAAATGTGTATAATAATACCACGAAAGTATTAGCTGGTAAATGGATTCATTAATGGCAGTAAAACCCCTGTAAAATTGGGGGGAAAAAAAAGTTTCAAATTTGAAATACATTCTAACCGGCTTTATAGCACCCTGCTGCGGAGAGAGGCTGAAAACGATATAATAGATAAATTAAAGCTAGAAACCTTCAATTAAGTTAAAAGTAGTCCTGTGCAGGTAAAGAGTGCTGTCAGAGCTTCAGATCAGCATAAATTCAGAAGTGAAATATTTGAAGTATGCAGCAGTATTCTGCTGCTTGGAATGCCTGTGCATTCCAGAGCAGTAAGGTAAGGGGAAAGTTCAGCAAAGTCACTGTTCAAGGGTCCAAGCACAGGACTTTGGAAAGCCAAAGCCTACCTGGAGATGACTCTGGCGGGGGACTTGAAGGGCAACAAGAAACATTTCTGCAAGTGCAGCAGCAGAATAAAGTCTAGGGAAAATGTGTTCCTACTGGTGATTTGGGGCAGGGGACCTGGTGACAAATTACATGGAACAGGCCAAGGTACTTAATGCCTTCATTGCTCCAGTCTTTGTTAGTGAGACTAGCTGTCAGGAATCCCATGCCCTTGAAACCAGAGGGAAAGTGTAGAGCAAGGAGACTTACCCTCAGTGGAGGAGGAGAAGGTTAGGGAATACTTAAACAGAATGGACAGACACAAGTCTGTGGGCTCTGACAGGGTGCATGTGTGAGTTCTGAAGGAGCTGTGAGGCGCTCTTGATTATCTTTGAAAGGTTGTGGTGACTGGGGGAGTCCTGAGGACTGGAAGAAAGTAAATGTCACTCCCGTCTTCAAGAAGGAAGATCCAGGGAACTGCAAGCTGGTCAGCCTCACATCAGTCCCTGTCTAAAGGATGGAGTAGATCCTGGAAACAGTTTCTTAGACCAGCCTCCTACAGTGAGGTGACCAGCTTGGTGGATGAGGGGGTAGCTGTAAATGCGATTCAGCTTGACTTTAGCAAGACTTTCAGGACTGTCTGCTATAACATTCTCAAACACTAACTGCTGAAGAATGGCCTAGACAAGTGGATATTCAGGTGGACTGAAAAGTGGTTGAAATGCTGGGTTTGAAGTGCTGTGATCCGAATTGCTTGTCTCTAAAATGTTGTGATCAGTGGCACAAAGTCCATCTGGAGAATGATCTAGCCTGACTGTCCCACCTTGCCACCTGTAAGATGCACGGATGTAGGATGTCAGTGCTGTTCTGACAACTTGAGCTCGGCTGTCCACAGACCTCCAATGCTCTCATGGCATGTGACACCAGTGCTTATGTCAGAATGATGCTGCAGTCCTGTGACATTGCTGCAAAAGTAAGTAGGTTGTAAGAAAGTAGGCAAGGCAGATTACGCAATCCAGGTCCTACGTATGGCAGATAGGTTTGTGTGGGGTCTGTAATAAGACAACACAACTTTATGTCTGTGTGCAGTTGGTGAGTAACGGCCTTGAGTGTAGGCTCTGAGCCTCCACGTGTGTGGAGAGAGGCTTTCTGCCCATATACCTCTTCTGAGGTTGTGTACAGGGAGAAAACATGAAAAGTTGCACTACAGGCTAAATTTATGGTGAAGTGTTAGCTTGAAGTAGCTTCTCAGTGCCTGTATCCATTCCTTAAGATGTGGAACTCTCTGAAGTCTGCCTGACTTACTCCTCCAGATCTATGCTTTGTTTGCTTGAACTCCAGTGGCATATAAATAATGCCATTAGTATTTATTGCTTCTACAGCCTATTATGAACGCTCTGAGTTTTGTTATTAATTCTTTTAGGTACAGTATGCTATGCAAGAAAGAAACAGACTTCACAAAGGAATTGCCTAAACTGAAGGATTCAAAACAGCACACATAAACTGTCAGGAGATCTATGTCCTGTTATAATTTCAAGGAGATTCTATGTCTAGGATGTTATCCTTGTTCCCACCAAAAATGATCTGGTTGATGCTTGTCTGAAGGAGACATTACATACAGAGGGATGCTCTGTGTTGCCAACACGGAATCTGTTCCTTGTGGTGTTGCAATAGTGCACAGGCACTATCCCTCATTTAGTGCTGCTAATCTCTTGAGAACAGGTAAACCTTTGCTTTACTAGCTGCCCAAGAATCACTTTCAACACTGGGGTGTTTTTTTTTGTTTCTTTGGTTTTGGTGGGGTTTTTTTGTTTGTTTGGTTTGGTTTTGGGTTTTTTTTTGTTTGTGTTTTCTTTTTAAGAAATTCTGGATAATACATTCCAGTTCCTTGAGTTTTTATTAAAAGTGCCTTACCTTCTAGTGGCTTCTGATTCTGTTTTGGCCTGAAAATACTTCCTAAGCTTCTGTTATTGCAATCAAACTACAATGGTGTTTCACACAGCTACTCAGAAGCAGAAACCACTCCTTCAGCAAGCTTTATGCTCAAGCATGTCTTAATTATCTTACTCAAAGTCAGGATCCATTTTATTTATCAACCTGTTGTACGGACTCAGGATTGGAGCTTCTTCCCATGCATTCATGTGACTTGCTCAGTGAAAACTTTATGTAGTGACTTAGCTCACATCTAACTGTTTCAGCAATGCCCTATGAAGACACCTTTAGATTATTTTTCTTAGATGAATGAGCCTGAGTGAAGGTTGGCATCTAGTTTACTGTAAATAATGTATATTACCTCTACGTGGCACACAGACAAGTGCAAATTCACTACACAAGTCTATACCTGGACAAAATAATTGCAGCTCCTTACAAGATATTGATAGCCTCTTAGTGCTGTGACAGGCACACAGGATTGTGTGATCCCTAAATGTGATTTGTGGGGTGACTGTGCTACCTTGGTTCATACTATCTTCAATATGTGCTCATTTGTTCATTTTGGCAACCTTTTCTCTCATCTGCTGATGGCAGGAGAGGATCATTCAGGGTCAGTGGACCCTAATGGTTTCTTCATTACATGATCTCTTTGGCATGTCCAAAAACATTTCCTGAGATTCAGGGTTTGGAAGGAACCAGGCAATGTAGTTCAGATTACATTCCCAGTTCTTAACACTCTCTCTTCACTTAGTGTACTAAGAAGCGTTTTTCATCAGGCTGTGCGAGTATACCATTGTTTAAAAACATACGTAGTAAATGCTAAATACTCTTCTGTGTGTGCTGTGTGGCAAAGAGCGTTAGACCAGGAAAACTTTGTCCTCAACATTGGTATACGTGTTTTGTAGCACTGGAAAAGCAAATGGTTTATGCTTGAAACAACAAAGCAGCATCTGGAGAAATAAGAGAAAAAAACCCCCACTCAAAATAATGTCTGTAAACCATACTTTTTGTAAGCTAATTGCAAACAGGTAGTCAAGGTAGCAAGGGTGGAGCAGCAGCAGAAAGCAGAGGGGAAGGACAGGAGGATATGCCACTTGTAATTTCATTTGACATGAATTACACTTAGCATATTGTCTTTAAAGACTTTGTAAGGAAAGGACAAAAATCTTACCTGACAATTTATCTCAGATATAAAGAAATCCATGTCCTATTTATCAACAGAAAATTGAATAGAGTCAGAATAAAGTGAATGTGTTTTTTTATTTTGATCTGAGTGGCCTGGTGATTTCTTGAAGCAGAGGTTCCGGGGAAAGGAAGTGAATCATCCGAGGAAACTGGTTCCTCATTGACATGGCAATGTCCATATGGGGTAACCTCCAAAGCAGGTGTATGCCTGTGCTTTATAGATGGGAATTCCTGACATGAGACATCAGATTCCACGTTTGGGCCTGGTAGGTTGACACTTTTCACTAGCATTTGAAAACTTCTATCATAGGTGTTTGCTTTATTTAACAGTTCTTTGGGCTGTTAAACTGTTACCACGTTCAGCTCCATTGTCTTCAGAATCATGGCACTGAAATGTCATCCAGAAATTAGAAATAGACCTGTGGCTTTGCATGTGAGGAACAATTTTAGTTCCTGTGTGCAACACAAGCAGATCATCACTCACTGGGGTGTCTCCACTGACACGTTTTTGGCAATTAGTTACTTTACCAGAAGCAGCCAAGTAATTCCTGTAGCTAGACTGGCTCTACAGCCTTAATAGGTTACCTAAAGAATTAGGGAACTTAATTGTTTCCTAATTCTTGTTGTATTTTGCTTCTGCTTCTCCTGAAAGATCCTCTCTGCTGCATTCTGAAACTATCGAGGGAAAGCTACTCTAGCAAAACCTTCTGAAACTAAAGAAAATAGGTCATAAAATCTAAACCCTTATGCCTTTCACTGTTACTCAGCTATATTGAATTAGGGAGCTCACTATCATTGTTTTTGCTATTGCAGGGTTCCCAGCAGGAGAACTGCAAAAGCCTTTCTTTTGGGGAACAGAGTATCCTAGGTAAGTACTGCACCAGGGAAACGTATACACCTGTAAATGACTAATAACAGGGAAAGGCATTGGAAAAACGTATAGACAAAGAAGAGGGTGTGGAGAAGGCTACACTGTTGAACTAGACATCAGGTAGTGCACAGGAATATTGTGTTCTTCTGCAGGGAAAGCTTGGCCCTTGGTTGTGTGTTCTTCCCTGCTCTAACCTACTTTTACTATTGAAAATCCAGATTTTGAAAACTGCGGCTTTGTGTGACAATTTTTCTTGCCCTTGGGAGCTGTATTTGTTGGTGTTGTCTTAAACTGATGACTGATTTCTCAGAGGGATTGCTAGTTAAGAGCACCTCAGTGGAAGTGTTTCAGTGCTGTAGGATGCAGATGCAGCAGTGTGCACAGGACAGGTATTAAAAGGAAGAGTAAATCAGGTAACTAACACTTCCTGAACAGCAGTGAATACCCTGAGAAGCCATTTATTATCTGTTTATTGTTCACTTTCTGCTAAATCTAAGATTAAGGGTTGGTCTTTGCCATTGCCTGTTGAGGTGCATGAGAATATCTCCATGTGCATAAGTGATTGCCTGAGCAGGCCCATGTGCTACTGTAGCTGAAGAAGAGTAACTACAGGTCACATATATTTAATTTTGAAAAATCACTGCTTTTGTGCAGTTCAGTAACTTTCTATTTAAGGGCAGGATAAGACTGAAAAGTTTGACAGCAGTTTCTGAAAGTCATTCTGCAGTTATATAAAGACATTTACTGGTGAAACATAAACTTAATAAGTCTCTGTTTAAAAAAAATCAAACTTTTAAAACGCTTTGCATTTGCCATCTTCCAATCTGGGTTTGTCCTTTTAAACGGGAAATTTGGCAATATATGTCAAGAGACCCATTCAATTTAGGAATAAATGGATTTGAATTCAAAGGGAATTCTTATGAGCCAGGTGACTTTCTAAGTGGTAATTAGGGATAGAAGAAAGTCCTTTCTTGTTAAGGTGAACCTATTTTCTGCAGTGGTTATTGCAGACCTGTTTCCAGCTTTGCTTTCTGAGATTTCTCTGTACCCTGACCTTCTGCCGTAGCGATAAAATTGTGGTTCTTTTAAAGAATTATTTTTTCTTCATTTTTCTTCTTTAAACGTTACCTTAGCTTAAATTGGTTTTGCTTGAGTACGTATCAAAATGAAATTTAGTAAACAAATGTAACTGGTTTATATCAGACAACAGATTGCTTTTGTCCTTGAAATATTCTAGATCTGTTTTCTATCTGCTTAAAAGAAACACTACATGGCACTGAACAGAAAAATCCTCAAAATTCATCAGCACTTGCTGGAAAACTAGTTTAGCAAATATTTAACATTTAGTGGAGTTCTAGTGTCCAGTTCCAGCATAGCTTCTATAAAACAGCTGCATCTATATGCCTGAAGGAAAGCTGTATCATAATTTTACATGTCAGTACATGAAATAGAATACCATTCAAATACCATGAAATAGAATACCATTCAAATACCACCTTTCATAGTTACAAGTCTTCAATGCCAGATATATTGAAATAGAGACTTCAAACTACCTGAGTTGGTATTTTCTTTACAGTCCTTCTAGCCTCCCCAGTCCCAGAAAGTTCACCTCTGATATGGTAGAACAGAAGTGTAGAACCTCTGTTCTTTGTCCCTGAGCCGTGGTGTCCAGGAAAAATTAGATGTATTTAGTAATAGGGCTTATTGGTTCTTCTTAACCTCTTTAAATGTTTTGTACCATTCTTTTTTATACTTTTCCAGCTGCAAAAGATCCTGTATAACCCCTTTACTTCAGATGTGGAAAATAAGTCTAACATAGTACATTTAGTATGGATAATCATCACTGTGTGCTGCACATGATTGCAAATTTGTCACACAAAGGGATGATATTTGCATTGCTGAAATGTATAATTTTAACCAGATTTTTTTAAGTGAAGGTTTGCAATAGTACTGGGAAAAACAACAGTGGGGAGGATTTTATCACATGCAAATTGCTTTTCAGGAAAGAAAAAAATAAAGTGAAGAATTGTCATGGGAGCAGGGGGAATTAAATCATATAATACTTTTTGGGCATGACTGAGATGAGCAATTAGTGTGCAATGGATCATTAGGTCCAGTAATAACATGTTACTTCAAAACCCTATGCCTTTCTCCCATTTCAATATAATGTGTTAGAAATTACAAGCTACTTTGAAGTATGGCATATCAATAACTGATACAATTAAAATCACAAAGAACAACTTAGGATGCATTTAATAGTTCACTTTCCCACTACAATATCCACTGCATTTTATGTGAAGAAATCCTGAACCTTTCCCTCATTCATCCCTGTTTCTCCCAGGTGTATGCTTATTTGGATATAATGAGGAAAATATAATTAATCCTCAATCAAGAAGACAAAATATTTCTTTCTAGATCTGACTTTAGATAATTTCCTACTCCTGCGCAGGTGCAAGGAAATTGTATGACCTCTCTTTTTAAAACAGAACGGAGATCTGTTTAGAGCTTTACGAACTAGAGTCAGTAACTTGCAAGTTCATTTGTTGCAGCTAGAGAAGAACTACTGGAGCTGGCATTTCAGAAGCCCATTGCAGCCTTTGACATATTCTTTTTTCATGATGATGCTAAGAGAATAATTTCACCTATGACTTTTTCCTGTCAGAATATACACAATGCAATCAGCTGAAGGTGACGTTTTGGAGCTCATATGGTGCTGATAAGGGATTTGGTTAGAAGAGTCAATTATCACAATGCTTTTAAAGTTTTTAAAGTAAAAATAAAGAATGATCATTCTTGAGGTTTTCTTTAAACTTGATGAGCGTGGATACTTTTTGAGGAAACTGCTTCTTTGTGTTACAGGTCATTAAGCTACGGTGCCATAGGTGTAATCGTTGGCCATGAGTTTACTCATGGATTTGATAGCAATGGTGAGTCCATATGTTGATAACCTTTTTTTTTTTTCTTTAACAGAGCTGACAGATTAAAAAGCTGACTTGTATATGCTTTAGCTTTTTTATTGTTTTGTTTTTTTAACAATGCTGAATCGTATGAAAAAAATTATAAAGTTGTATTTTTTTATGTATTTACATACAATCTTGCTTGTCTGAACCAGATTTTTTTTGGTAAGGAATGATGCAAGTTTGACACTTTCTGTTCAGTTTGAATGGAAACCAAATCAACAACAGATTCAGGAAGCTTGTCTGGGGGAGTGGGAAGGGCAAAGCAATAACTGCTGATTGATAAAAATGACTTCAAAGAAAACTTTTAATTTCAGTTTTGACTTACTTTCAAAAGACAATTATGTACCAATTTTAAAATACAACGCTGTAACAAGAGTGAAACAGAAAAGGTATTGCAAAATATATTAAGAAAGAAAGAAAGGAAGAGAGAGAGAGAAAGAAGAAATGGTCTGAAAATGTCAAACCAACTGTCCAGAAAAACAGGGTGGAGTGGGGCATTACCATCATCTAACTTTGGCTGTCTCAGTACAGTGCTTTTTACGATTGGGCTCCTGAGAGAGAGAGGCGGGGGGAGACAGAGAGAGTAATATGAACATCCTCCTCAAGGGAGCAATTCTGAACATCTGACTGACATCCTGGTCTGACTCACTGTCTAGCGAAACCTCTTTCCACTGAAAATATAGGGTGTTTAAGGGAAAGCAGGCTTCTAGGTCACTGCCTAACTAAAGTTAAGTTGCTTATGTTGCATTACTTTGAATAACGTTCAAATAAAAGGAAAACCTTGTGTTCTGTTGGCACTGGTCTGCAACATTTTGTGACAGCAAACACTCCAGAATGGAGAAATATTTCTTCACAAACTCCCATCTCATTGGTAGGAGACTATCTTATCTCCACTGTATCTCCAGCCAGTCAGAGAGGAACCAAAAATCTGATTCCCTAAGCAGACTGCTACCTCTTACCCAGGCTCTTACCTTCCAAATATAAAAATAAATACATCTCTAGGGAATTTCATAGAATCATAGAATG